TTTGCGACAATAACCAACATGAATGGTTAAAATGCCTACCGCTGAAAGCCATTTTAAATAAGGCACATGTACTGCTTCCTTTAAATTTGTACGATATTTGAGAACTGATCGGCAGCACAATCGTTCACGGTAAATAAAGTGCATGTACCATCGATCATTTTTTGATATAATTCAATAGCCTCGTTTAATCCGAGTTTCTCCCGATCTAGATTACATAGATGTACATTTTCGTCTGTTTATATCCATAGAAGATTTAAATAAGTCTTATTTTTAAACAGCGTCGGGCAAATAATTATAATTGCCTCGAATACAAACTTGTACTCAGTTTCTAGTAAATCTAATATCCACTGGGTTTTCCCACTTCCCGTTTTACCTACGATTAACGCACAGTGTGGCTTCTTGTACATCAGGTTCATACTTTTTTAATAAACCAAGCTTTTAAATTTCCCGTCCTCTACCGTCAATTGCGCGTCCATCACCAAAAACACGTACATTGCCAACTGGCCCGCAGTTTCTGCTTCCCTTTCCATCTGTATCGATATGTCACCTCCATCTCCCAAGGGGTGACCCAACCCGTGTGATGCATTGTCGTCCGAATTCCTAAAATTCATCCAAAGTCCGTATTTGTCCTTTAGATACTCGGCCATGCCAACACCAGTCAAGTTTAGATCCTTTACTACCGATCGAGCTGATTCAGTATCCGATCACCGAAGTATTTGTTAAATTCGGCAAGTGTTGATATTCAAATAGCACTTGCGAATGCAGCTGATTTGGTTTACCCTCTACCATGACTACAGTTTTAGTGACATGCGGGTTGTAAAATCTCTGGGAGTTCTTTACATTTGGATCCTTGAACAGGATCAAGACGGCTTTTAGACTTTTAATCGTTTGATCAATGCTGATGTTCCATGACGTGTCTGACTTGTTACCGCTTGTTTCTTCCAAGAATAAATTTGGTCAAATAGATTATACATGGGCCTTTTATTATTCACTTCTTTATCCTGGGGAAACCTCTCAGTGAAACACTGTTTTCCAGAGGTGCCCAGCAATTACAATAAAATCAGTTAAGCCCATCAAATATTATAAAATACTAAATATCCAGAAAATAAACTGTACTACTTAAGAAACCAAAGATTGTGCTTTTGCCTCATAGATTGTGCCAGGTCTCGATTGGCAACGACTTCGTATTCTAGGGTCAGGTCTGAAATGCCGTACTCTGCGTTTGTATCTGTCGAATTGACCACTTTGTCGTGATTGTTAAATGTAAGTTGGTACGTTAGAGGTTCTTTAAAACCTGAGGAGTAAAACGGCCCGTGATCTGTCAATGGTGGCGTGTCCAAAGTAATCGCGTATCTATTTTTAAAAGCGTCTGCGACAGCTTTGTCTTTACCGTCGTTTGCAGCTTCGTTTTTGTCGGCTGCTCCCAGTCTCAATTTGGCCACGTTTTCCCGTTCCATGCCAAAATAAGCCATATTTTTGTCTGCGACGCGGGTAGCCAATTATCTTTAAAATTGTGAAGCACGTCTGCGTCTCTGTAACTCGCGATTTTGTTATCCTGTAGACTGACGTTTATTTCAGAGATCAAGTTTCTTGACACGTTATTATACTCGGTGCGATTGTCGTCCGAACCACCGTCTAGGTCCAACTTAAAAGCTAACTTTGCGGTGCCCGGAACAATTGCGTCGTCTGTGCCCAATGCGGGAAATTTTACGTTTAGCGTACGGCCTACAGCGATGTTACTTGGATTGTGCGTAATAGTGACTTGGCGTCTTTCGCCTTTGGTGGCGCGAGGCGCTTTGAGCCTGCTGCTCGTGTATAGCTTTTTGGTGCACTGCTGTGACATTTTCTTAATATATACGATTTTTAATTTAAGGGTTTTTAAAGTTTAAGTTTTAAAAATAAGTAAAAATCTTAAAGAAGAAAGATAGCACAATCAACAATACACCGGATGCAAAAAACATGTATTCATATTTGCCCAATAAATTGCACTTAAGAAATGTATCGTGTCGCATTTCTGCTAAACAATTTTGAATCTCTAAAAGCATGTCCCCCGGTGATCAACGTCAGCACGCATGTCTCCAAGCATTTGTTCGATGTTGCTTTGGTCAGCTTGGATTTCAGCCAATTGGTGTTCCATATTTACAATAAAGCAAGTTAAATTTAAGCAAAACGATACACTAAAAAAACAATAATTGCACTACCCCCCAAGATCCATACAAATTCGCGAATTTTTTGATCTTCCGAAGGTACTTAAGAATCGGATAGCTTGGGTTCGGGTGGTAGAGGCAATATGTGCTTGTTTACCCGTTAATTCTGAATATGCTCGTAAGGCTTCGTCTACGTTTACAAAAGTCTGCTGACTTGAACGTTCCTGTCGCATACGCTTGTTTAAAAAGTCTAGCATGTGCACGCAATTTTCTTCCCACTTTTGTTTCGCTGAAGCTAATTGTTCCAACGCGAAGTCGTGTCATTTACGTTCTCCGTCTACTTGATGTTTAGCGAAACTGCTAAGCAAAAAATTTGAACCCGTAAATGCCAGAGCGTTGACTATCGCTCCACCGATCATCATTAAAGCACTAGCCATTTTATTTTATAAAGATTTTGATTTAAAAAAAATGGATAAATCAATAGACCAAAAACTATCAAAGTTGTTTTACAGCCCACAGGGGTACTGGAAAGGTGAAAGCGTCGTAGATCATTTAGCACAAATAAACGGGTGCAGACAAGTCGACAGTTAGATCCTGGTTAAAAAAGGAGGCAAATGGGCAAATTTATTTACCGCAGACGTGCTGATTAGAGATTAATACTATCCGGGCGAGCAGGAACGTGGCACCGTTAAAAGGGCAACCGATATCGTCTGGTCAGTAGACGTTTACCAAGTGGAAAAACGCATGAGTCAATTCAAACGAGTCAATGGCAAAAAAGTGAAAACGGGGCCTACTCTGTTAAACGGGCCCAAATGGACTTTTGTTAGGCAAGAACTTCAAGTGATACCCGAAGACACCGAATTACTTCCCGAAGAAAGCTAATTTTTAAAATTTAACTGCGCAAAAACCGAATTAAGAGCCTGTTCTTTGTTTTGTTTTTAAAATTTGACTGATATACCCATTCGTAAATGAACGAAACGCGCAATTTCTTCGACTTGTTGCCTTGCACAACTTGCCTGGGGCGTTCTACGTCAGTCGCCTTAAATCCGCAAATGGCCGATTGACAGTGTCCACAAGCTAACGTATCAGTGCCATTCGGTAATATGTACTGCTTCGTGTCTAAGGGGGACATATTTAGTTTATTTTGCGAGATTGTGATGCTTGTCTGATCTAAATAGCTTTTGTTTATTATAATTCTGTACCCGTTAAAATAAGCATCTTTGATAAGCCTCGTGCGATAAGTGTTTTTCGGTTACCACATTAGTGACTCCTTTTGCTTTTCTCTTTTAAATTTTATTCTTCAGTTAAAATGGAGTACATTTTTGGTCGAATACAAATAGCTTCCTTTATCACTTCGCCACCAAATTCGTCTTTCGTGTTACCAATTACGTTTTAGTTTTTAGGGTCGTAAAGCGCGTGCGTAGACGAGTAATTCGAAAAGTCAAACAGGGCAGTTTTCTTACTCAAGTAGCCGTTTAAATCGTCAGTTGGAATCTCAGCTAGTAAACTGTCGGTGTTTGTGTACAATAGACGTAGAAATCGTACATTAAGGTCTTAGATAAACCCAACACGCTTACGCCGCAGTAAATGGGCTTATTCGGCAGCGTAGTCGATTTATAGTTTGGTTTAAAAGTTAGTTTCTTATACCTTTCTGCGTCTTGGAGGTCTCTCAATAGATGTCCGTTAATGCCAAACCTCACGTTTTCCATCGTCGTGCCAAATACCGAATTGTTCATCAATATTGAGAAGTCTTTCTCAAAATTGGACTTGGCTATTTTACGCAATTCGGTATTTTATCGATGTAACTCTTCATCCAAGGCGCCTGTTTTAACGACATTACGCGGTGAACGTCTTTTAACTGGAGACCGAGTTGCAGGTACTTTTGTAACGTCCGAAAGTGAACCACGTGTTTATGTTTTAAGCCTAAAGTGGCTACGAGTCTATCTACTGAAGTTGCTTGCTCACCGTTACTTATCAAGTTACTTTGATAATCTGATAACCATTCATTTGGTATTGACATATTCTCAGGTGCCAGTGGGAAGTCATTGTGCAAAGAATGTAAAACTTTTGGGAATTTAAGGTCACTTCAAACATGAAACCCTGTAAATCATTTGGGGAAAGTCTAGAAATGTATTCAGCGCTAACTTGTTAAGTCCTTGACCCACTGAAACTCGCCCGCGGGTAACGATTGGTTCATGGCCCTGCCATACAAATTATTCGCGTCTAAATACATGATATAACAAGTCGTTTTTTTCAGGATCATAGTCTTTTAAATCGGGTTATTTGCTTTGGCATAACGCTTTGCACCCACGCTTGAAATGCCGCCTCGTTTGGCCCTTTTAAAAATATGTGTTTATCAATGTCTCTCAATAGGTCCAATTTAACCCCGGAGTGTTTGAACAAGCATCCCACAATAAACCCGGTGAAGTGTAATAGTTGGCTGGGTCAAGGCCATAGTTTCTTTTACACACTTGACGGAAGTTCTCAAATACACCCGCCAGTAGTAGTACATCCGTTTCTACGTATAAGTCGTGGTAGTCTCCGAGATTTTAACAATCAAAAGTTTGATTGTACGTCGCTTGTACGTATTCTATTTCTATAATTTTCTTTTGCTCTAAGCTACTATAAAATGCGTCTCTTGGTGGTAAGTTAATCTCTTCAAATCGATCAAAAGAGTTGATATATTCGTACGGATAAATTCCCTTTTCTGAAAGCTTGTCGGTGTCATTTGGAAATCTTGCGCGAAGTAACTTGAAATCATCCGGGGAACAATTTTTAACCAACCGATCGAGTGAAGCAGCCATGAAATGCAATGAGTCGAGAAACCGAAGTTGCCCAAAGCTAAACGAAATGTAATTTTCGTTGTTTTTAGCAATTACTTTAATCTCCTTCCCTTGACTCCTGACAGATAAAATAGGTCCGTTTTCAAGGCATTTTGCTCAAACTACATGCGATTACACGGCCATCAAGTTTTTTCTGAAAAATTATCATACATGCATAAAAGAGAAACACAAAATGCAAGAATTCCGTGAGAAACACATTTTTTCATTTAAGTCTACTCTCTTTAATTTTTTTTGTTAGAGGAGCAGGCTGCTTAGGTTTGCTCACAGCCGTTTTTGTAATAATTATTTAACACATCGTGTTTGCATCCCACAGGCTAAATATGCTCACAATGTATACATCACTTAAATACAGGTTTCCCAGCTAAATTCAGGCCAAAGTCATTCAACTTAACACAATGAACATTCACAGACATTTACAAGTCAAAAGCATGCATTCAATTTCATTATCTATTTAGCATTTTTAGTGTTCTTCAGTAATGTACATGTATACTTTCAAATCAAACACGTCAAACTGTTATATCGTTCACTCAAATTTGTATAGGACCTCAATTTACACACAAACTGTTTCTGCATAAACACTATGGCATAACAAACAGCGCTTGATTTTTGGTCTTATATGTAAGTATACAGTCAGTGGACATGGAATGATGATCTTCTCAAAGATGTGATGAAATTTCCGTAAATATGGACAGTTAATTTAAATACCTCTTCCAAAGTGCTTCATAATAAAAAGGACGAGGTTTCGTAGAGAAATAGGGAGGTTTCTTGAGGTCCAAACAAACTGAATTACTCAGATTACACTTGGTGGGTGACAAATCAGCAGTGTCTCAAAGACAGCATGGATAACAAGATGGTGACCTGTACAGCCTGGAACTCAATAGTACATATTCCAGGACATCTAATTACACATGGGCACTATGGGGAAGAGGTGTACAGGTTCTTTCACACACCTCTTTCAGTTTCAAGAAGTAAGTAATCAGTGTCTTATTTATTACGTTTCTATGGCGTTTCAGAAAGTAACGGCACGTGAGTAATGATTAACGAAAATAAACTAAAAATAAGCCCGGTAGACTAGATTCAGGTCCAGGTACTCTACGCTGACCGCGTTATTCCCCATCTTGATGGCACTGCACCTGAACACGAGTGCACTCTCACACGTATGTCACGCAAATTACGTTTCTCTCCACCTCCGTCTCGCACTCCTTCATTTGGGAACAAATCTCACAATTATTTTGCCCAGCTAAGTGTACGATTTTAGGTTTATGCATCTTAGACATTAATGTATACAACAATGTTTATTTTCTACACGTCATCGAAACACAATTAGGCCGAAACGATGCCAGTTTACATGTATGTTCATGCACGGACCATTTAGAATAAAATCAGCAGTTTATACAGTTTGACGGGGTCATTCTTGACGAAAACATATAAAATTCTTTTTTTTACCCTTGATTATTTGACAAGTAATACAAAACAATTAATCTGACTTTTGCAAATTTAGTAGTACCGCCGAAATGTCTGTGGGTGGGGGTCAGGGTTCAGTCCCAAGTCTGTATTTAACTATACGTATGCCGCAATTTCGAGACCGGAATGTACAAAAAAAAATCCAAGATAAGAGTTGCTCACCAAATCATCAAACTCCAAAAACTCAATTTTGTATGCTGGACTAATTTACGATTTTTACAAAAGTAACATAGACGTGTAAGTTAACTATAGACGGCCATGGAAAGACCTTGTGATGACAAACCAAGAGATTTTGAAACGACACAAAAAACGTGCATTCTCAACGATAGTGTACAAGAGTCAAATTGAGCAACGCTTTGAGAGTAACTGCAAAGAAGAGCTGAATTCAAATTGAGTTTAAAATAAAATCCAGTTACGTACTGCTTGAACCATCCTGTTGCATCATCTGCAGTAAACTGATGTACTTATGTCTTATGAAGAGAACTTTCTTCTGTAGACTTGCGAGATGTGAACAGTCTTGAACAACTGTTTGAAAATACCAAGAGAAAAATCCTGTTAAATAACGCCTTATTTTGTTCGAATTGCGTAATAAACGACAAACGAGTGTAAATGCTCCTAAAACGATAGATGCAAAATCAACAACATATTTTTCACTTAAGACAGTACGCTAACCTTGCCGGGAGGACCACAACTAAATTACATAACAATGCATGTTTATAAATAATGTGTACACTTATCCAAGTGCCCAAATCATTCGTACAATAACCAAGAATAATCTTATTCGGACCATCCTCCACCAAAACAAACTGACTTAAAGTGTGGTTTTTTCGAAATTAAACAACTTACAGCGTATTACATACATGTGATTTTTTCACGGAAGCTATATTGGAAGGATTTAATAACATACATAAAAAGAGTTATCGTGCAGATTATGATCGGACATGCCCTTTCGCCTGTACCTAAAAAGCATTAAGATATGGTTCTCTTTTAACCTGTGGAAAATTCTCATTATCATCCTGGAAAAGAATTATCGATGAATTTCCTTTTGCAGCGATTCAGATGAACGAAATGAATGATGATTGGTAGTCGCGGAGGAGGGAGAGTCTTTGCAGTAGGATCTTTTATTATGCTGCCAATAATCTCTTGAAAGAATTGCCAAAATGAAGGGATCGCGACAGCAACTTGTTAGAGGATTGCAGCGGTCTTGTTATCAAGACTTCGTATGAAGTATCTCAACAGTACATGTACATGTATATATATAGTATCCAAGAGTATTCCCTTCACTTCCTTGTCTTAAATGGAGCTAGTCTTGATTCCAGTAGTTCATTAGGCGTAACAAACTGCCAACAGACGAATCAATACAAAGGAAGGTCTGAGATATTTCGTTTGTAACAAGTTTTGTTCTCTGTATGCGTACAATAAATTACGACTGTTGAAAGTTCAAAAGTAATTTTGAAGCCCGCTTGCTTCTGTTTGGTACTTGGAAAACTGTAGGAAGGAATTAAAACCAGTGTACCCCTCATCTGAATAGAAATTCACACCCAAAAGGAAATTTCTTTTGTTTTCTTTCGTGTTGGAAACCAAGTTTTATTGAAATGTAACATATCCTTTCGTTCCAGGCGTTCTAAAACTGTCACTGCACCACATTTGAAAACGATGACACACTTAACAGGACTTACAGGACTACTGAAAAATTTACCCCGCGGCAAGGTCTTATAACTACACAGGCAACACAGTGACGTCGATTTGAGTCGGCAAAGTCGGTAAATGGTCAGGGTCGGTCAGTCAGTCGGAAGTTCCCCAAAATGGACGTTGGGCCCTGACTGTTTTGCCGACATGGGTAGGAATGCAGTCTACCGGCATGCTAAGAGATTGCCAGCCGACGTCTGCCACGATTCCTCTGACCGACGTCGTGTAAACTCACCTTCCGCCGACGTCGGCTAGACGAAATGCAGCTGACACGTCCAAGCAACTACGTCGAACCGAAGTCCTTTGACAGTCCTTCACCCAACGTCGGGTTATTACCATTTAGCCCACGTTGGTGAGAATGCGGATAACCATCAGGACTTCTGGCTGACGGTTAGGCGACGTCGTCAAAGTTCTTTGGGCCAACGTAATATTACTCAGCTATTATTGAACGAAGTGCGGCTGACTCACGTCCACATACATAACCAACTGCTTTAAGCCAACAGCATTTGATTCAATTAACCAAATCTGACAATATTGTCTTGCATATTGCATTTGCCTTTCAGCAAACGTTTTGAAGTACGTATACATTAAAAGGCAGATCGAAATTTTGTGCATTGGGAGTGCAGCGTTAACCGGGTCTTTAATATCTCTTTCTTTAGATTATTAAAAGTCAGTCGAGAAAGGTCATTTCAAAATTGGTAGTTATTACAAAACCATGTGCCAAAAAGGGACACGATAAATTAAACCGACTTTATCTCAGAAAATCCGTCTGAACCAAAAATGTTTACAATGAACCCGACAAAATGATTTCATGCATTTGCATGTGATTCACATTTGAGGTGCATGTGATCTCATCATCTCACAAGTCCTGAAAAATGCGCCTTGCGCTGTATACCCGCAGCTGGTTCCCACCCGACAATTATAGGCCTTTTCACACTACGAAAAATCTCCGGGTTGGACACGGGTCTGACTCGTGTAAAAGTCAGTGACCTTTTCACACTACAGAATTTGCACACGGCACTAACCCGTGTAGAGCGCTCGACCCGTGTTGAAACCAACCCTGCTCGGGAGGTGGGTTGAGAGCGCTCAATCCGTATTGAGACTGCCGACGTGTTGAAAGCCGTAGTGTGAACGCAAGTGGGTTATTGTTCGACCCGTGTAAATATTGCGCAGGCGAACTCACACGCACACTGTAGTAATAGGACGCCAACAAACAAACGAATTACCTTTAACTTACGACATGCCTTAATTTCACGCGCGTTCTTCGTAATTGTATTGACTTTGTGCTCTGACAAAAAACATCCAAAATGTCAGATAAAGGCTCTCAATCTGAAAAAGGCACGCATGGAAAGAGGAGGAGGTAAAGGCTGTGTTGGCTATTTGGGATGACAGCTCCATCCAAAGCCAGCTTGATGGCATGACAAGAAACAGCAAGGTGTTTCTCAAAATAAGCAATTTGACCCCTGTCGGACGCGCGAGTGTGTCGTAAGTGTGAAACGATCGCGCAAAACATGGGTCGAAACATTACACGTGTAGCAAAAATGCCGGCGCTGTGTCCAGTAGTGTGAAAACGAAGCAGAATTGAAGCCAGTTGAAATTTTAAGAAGTCAACTCGGGTTGGAACCGTGTAGATTTCGACCCTGGCCCAATTAAAAATTGTGTTGTGCTACAATGCGTTTTCTGTAAAATGTATCAGTAATTAACTGAGAATCTTTGTAACGGACACACTTTTGACTGTACAGTGATTTTTTTTGTAACGACAGAACCCCGGAGAAAGCTTTGCAAATGTACAATTTTCCTCTGTAACATGAATTAAGATAAATTTGCATACGGACTTTGGTGCACAAAACCACTTTCATAAAGCTGATTTCGCCATTTCTCTCGTGTTTCCTGTTATTGCGAGTAACCGGTAATGTTTTTTTGGAGGAAGAATTTTATTCTGAGTCACCTTGTGTGCCAATAAATAAGAACTGCTAAAACAACTATGTTTTTTAACCTGCAATCCTGCCAACTGTGACTAAAGTCGAAAGAAAAAGCGATGCACATATAAGCAAGCTGCGTGCGTTATGGAGTAGTCTAGTGGCATCTGTGATCGTGATGTATCGGTCAGGTAAAAAATATGTCTATAACACATGAAATAAAAAACAAACTTGTCAGTGTCATTACTAACGTATATCCTCCTTTGACCGTATAAGCAGCCTCCTTCCACCTCACTTACGTTTACTCTCCGTAAATTCGCAAATAAAAATTTGTTCTTGCGCAAAATGAGCGTCTGTACATTAACATGACATTTGTAATAAAAATTGACGTAAGTCTCTATGTTAATGTAGAGAAAAATTTCTAACAGTGTTAAAGTACACTTTTATGCTGTAATGTGTACATGAGAGTAATTGCAAAATACCCCGCCAAGCGAAAATCTACGGCCACACAGTCGAGTCATGGAGGAATAAGTGGAGGTTGTTCAACTTCCTGGTTATCCTTGCTGCGTCGAGGTAGGGGTTGTGTAGAGTATTGAAGTCATTTTTGAGAAAGATGCACACTGTGAATTACATACAACTCATTAGGATCCAATGGGGGTCCCGGGGAGGGGCTACGGGATTACGAAGTGGGCCCTGTGCGTCCTGCAACGCAAAGTGAATGATGAAGGCGGAAGAATTTCCGTCTCGTAAGTGTGACGTCACATCAGTTTAAACCACATGTACTGCACATAGAGTTACATGCATTGATCGCCGTTCACATGGAACCATCGAACCGGAAGTTAATGCACAACTTCCGCAATCCCGTCCAATGGGAGCCTGCAAATCGTGGTGCGTCTGCCTTAACGACGAAGTTACTTGCGAACTTGATACCAAGTCTAATCACGTATGTTTCAGAGGGAGATTATTAACTCTGCATGTCCCGTTTTTAAGGTCATTTGCACATGAGGGCAATGGGAATTTGTGCCAGGCAAACAGCTGCTTCATTTCATGAAATTTACGTCTTATTTTCACTTTTTGGAAAAAAATTCCTGCCCAAAATATTTTCACGGTAAGATAAAGCCTTTTCCTAACGTGTTTCGTGAAAAACATTGAGAAACAGTACTAGAGTGGTCAAAACTAGTGATTTTGGTGAAAAGCACTTTTCGTTAGCAGTGTTTTGTTTATATTTTGATGCAATTTATGAAGGCTCGAAACAAAGAATTCGAAGTTATCAAAAATGGGCTGTGGTGGAGAAATATGTGAAGGTTTTAGAATTGCTGACGGTTTTGGGCTAGATTTTTTCTCTTCCCGACTGATCGACCTAACTCAGCACCGATTCCTTCCTTACGGCTTTGCGAGCGTAAGTATTCAGTGACTCGGGTACGAAACACGAACTCAAAAGTACAGTTAGTTAACATGAAGTTTATTATTGAAACCGAGGTCTATCTGTCATTATAAAATGGCCAGGAAAACGTTGAAATTTACGGTATATATCCCCAGTTTTATACGGTACTCTACACGCATGAACCACATGAACATGTACACCAGCTCCGTCGAGAATTTCCATGCACATGTACATGAACGCCGCGGTACGCGTGTGACAAGCGGCAGTGTACTGTGCACAGTATGTGGCTGGATCAGTTTTGTGCATGTAAAACAACACGTACTGATCGCGCAACTATACGCTGAAGTATCAAACAGAACTCATGAAAGTTGAAAAAATAGCTACATAGAACTGGTTGTATTGTGTAGTTGAGATTCTGGAGTAGTAGGAAACTGAGAGTTCTGGAGCACACGCCCCTTTTTGCCCGGTTTTTGCTCAAAACCCTTGGGTAGTACATCGACCCAAAAAACCGTCGAAACATTTTTGGTGGGGAA